CTTTCACCAGGTCTGAATTTCACCCACACTACTGAGATATTATAATGATGGCAAGTTTGCTTTAAAATACATTGAAGATGCTTAGTGGATGATTTTTCATTTCTGATACAGAAATAATTATTTTACTCCATTTTCTAAACAACAGCTAATGTTTCCCCCACAAACATACTCCGTAAGCTTAGGAGTAAAGGAAGTTCACTTTCAGTGTCCAAAATTTTATGTTTTGTGTTCCAATTACAGACACGTACATAAATTATCTGCTCAATACACAGAACAGCTCTTAAAGAAGTCAGAGGCACTAGGTGCAAGTCTCAAGAAAACCAGGTAGAGACACAGTTTTTCCTTTTTGGCTGTGAAGAGGATAATTCTCTTTTTTTATGCAGTAGATGTTAGATGAGAGAATGAAGGGCCACTACATACTTCAATAACTTCGAATTAATTCAGAAGGTACTTTAATGCTATGCATTTAAAAGTAGCCAACACGGACACACACACATATAAAAAAAAAATAAATCACTGGACTGGAAGGAATATAGCTCTCTTAAAAGCTGGGCTTATTTCTAACACAGATTCTTATCAACCCAATGGCCAGTTCAGGTTTTTCAGTAATTCTGGCAAAACTGAATACTGTCATCCGAAGGACAAAGGGATGGAGGTAAGATAAGAGGAAGAGGAGAATACCTGTGGGTGTAAAAAGGAGAGAGGATGAGGATGAAGCAAGGCCCTGGAAAACAACTTTTACTGCTTACAGTGGTATAGTTTATAAAGAGTGAAAGCAAAGTATTTCCTTCACAAGGGCATAACCTCCCCTTCCCTAAGCCATAAGCTGTTTCCAGCACCCACCTCCTTCCTCTCCCAGTGGTGACCACTGGTGCTTTCTAGGACTTGGACATAAGCAAAGCAAGTAGCAAGGTCCGGGCAATACTGCTGCCCCATACGGTCTTCTGCTCCATTTCATGAGTCTCATGTACTCACTTGAGTCAGGGCTACACTGACAACTTTTATCAAGTCTATGAACAAGTAACCTAAAATACGCCTTTGCATGAACATGTCATTAACTTAACGTGCTCTGCAACACATTGGGTTTTTTCCTGTATGAAATGACCAAACTCTGAACTGCACCATATTGTCATAGAAGTGGGATCTAACCAACAACATTAATGTAAAGCACTGCTTTATTCATACAGAAAGTTCTCCATTTGCTGAAGGGGGAAAAAAAGAAAATAGATTATGTGTTTAATGAGGAAGACACTGGTTCCCTGTGCAGGGATACTGAGGTAGTCCTGCATCGAGTCAGTGGGCATACGCTACAGCTGGACTGCAAGGCTAACAGGTTCGCAAGAACACCCATGTCTCCCGCACTGTGCTCCCCAGCACTCGACTGCCTGCTAACAAGCCCTTCCCTAGTTCAGAGCCCTGGGGACTGAAGGTCAGAGACACTAAAGCAAATACTAACTCTGTCTCATTGCTGGCCAAGTCAGGCAGAGGGTCATTCCCACAGGAGCAACCCTCATGCTTCCACGCCATCTTCTTCAGTTTCCTCAGCTAGCAAGAGGAAGGGAGAACTCCATAAATCCAGTGCTGCTAGTAAGTGTTCTCAAACTTGGCATGCACTTACTATAACAAGCAATTCTACCTACATGTGCTTGGATCTGACATTGCCCAGGAGCTAGCAAACCCTGATGGACCCTTGATAACTTGATAAACAACCGCACCAGCAGTCCTCAATTGGAGAAGGAAAGTGCTTTGAGACACAGAGATTGCTCTGGATGGAGCTGATTTTGGCCAGCTGCAGGTCTGCAAGACATTAAAGCTGTATGCTGACATTACCCCTGTAAGCAGTTAGACTGCTTAGACTCTTTAAAAACAATGACAGCAATCTTTCTGCATTTACTCTGGTCTTACTGGATTGCGTAAGGTGAAAATCTTTAAGGCAAGGAAGCATTTTTTTTCCATCATTCTGCAGGATTTTGACAGATGTTAAAATATCAGAAAAAGCAATTCAAGTATTCAGACTCAGAAGCCTGCATCATTTCTTACTTATACTGGTTTTACACTGGCTCTAAGTCTACTGCATTCATTGAGGGCACCTCTGATTTACAGTGAAAGTATAATCAGGCCCTCTGCAGGCATCATCCCAAATTGGTGCTCTGCCCTATTAAAACAAACCCTTGTTACAGTCACAGTTTCAAAAGTGCACGTTGGGTGATGGTGAAATCTTAGCATAGAACTTACTTTGTGTAGATAAGGGTTCATTAGTTCATTTTGCAGGAACAACTATTTTGATTATGCTGACACACAAGAAGAGATGGTAAATTATTAAGTTCACCAACATTCTAGTGGTTTCCTTATCATTAGATGTTTAGTTAGATACAACAATCTTTTTTGTTTTATCTGGTACATCTGAAAACTGTACCTTTACTAAAAGTAGTACATTATGCTTGACCATAACTCGCTGTGTTCAATTCACAAAGCTGTATACCTTAGGCGTAATACATGGTTATACTGCCATGTGTATGTATATATTCTTTGGTATTTAGTTCCCATGAACTCTGTTTACTTTAGTGGCAGCTTAATGGAGCCTACAAGATGATCATCTGTGTAAAATAACCCAATGGTCATATAGTCCAGAGCAAAATAACATTTTATAAAAGACCAGAGTCGCCTGTCTATGTGCTGAGTTACTGACTGTCTCACAGCCAAAAGTGTGTGCAAAAGCAGATTATTTTCCATGAACGGATTGCAAACCTGATTACCTCTCTGCATTTCATTCGCCTTGTGGGTTTCAGAAAGCCTTTTTATGGAAAGCTGACAGGATACGCTTCCTTGGGACAAAAGAGACAACACCCAAAATTATATACTGTATGCCAAGATTTGCTGCAATGACATATCCAGATGAAAAGCTGTATTTACAAATACTGCATTCCAGAGTTGTTTATGCTGCACTTTCTCCATATCATTCTTTGGTCAACAATCTAAGGAATATAATATGATCACAAGTCTGTAAGTTTTCTTCATGGATTAAATCTTCATAATACAAGGGAATAGGACTGTGAAAGATTCAAGAACTCAAATGAAAGGTTTTCTAATCAGCATTTTTGTTTCTAACAGCTTTATATCAATTAATTACAGAAACAGCCAATGAGATTATTGGTTTATAGTCACAAAGAGTAACTTCAAATTTTAGGGGAAACACTTCTTCATTTCACTTAGCCAAACAGGAGTAGTTCATCATATCCAAAATATATTTTTCACAAGTGACCTAATCAAAAAATCTAACACTTTTCTCCACCTTCCTGTGGCTTCCAGCACACAAACTGATGTGACTAGTACCACACCCAGCAACCTTTGCCTCCCAGTGCCCCATTCTCTCTTCTACATCCTCTCCACCAAAGCAGTAAGAAGAAAAGAATACACAATGAGGCTCAAACATGGCTCTTCACCAGTAGCAGGATACCTTAATCACTGTTATATCACATCACTGCGCGTGACTTAACATAGATTTAAACTGTTTTTCAACTCAGACAACAGGCACCTTAGAAATAGATGCATAGTTGGGTATCACTAATTTACAAGCAATATGCTGTAATAAACAACAGAATACACAGAGGTGTTTATTTTTTCCCTCAGCCTTATTTACACATTTGAAAGACCTCTCAGGTGAAGGCTAGAGAATGTGCAGATAATGCAAAAACTTTCATCTGCACTGCATAGCACATTCTGTTTGCTTTTAGCAAGTCCCAACACTGAGTATAGTAATTGCAGAAATGAAAAATCACCACCTAAATTCAGGTCTAAGTCTGGAGCCATTCTTGAGTAGTAGAAAAGGAGTGATATGAATAGATCTGTGGGATGAAACATTGACTAAAAAAAGACAAGCATGTTGTAATAACTGATCAAAACCTGAAGAATGTCAATAGCTAAGATCTCGTCGTTACAGATATTCAGCTACTACACTCATGCTGCTGCCTGATACAAAGAGTAACAGACCAGTATAAAGCAGAGAGGCCTGCATCCTTTGGTGGTTGTTTCAGAAACTGGTGACATAGCCAGACTAGGTCTGGACGAAGAACTTTGGTGCGGTAGTTAAGCAATAGTGCAGAGACGAGACATTAGGCAAGATACCAGTTCACTGAAATAACTGCCCTACAGGAAAGAGACTTTGCCAATGGAAACAATTGTGCTTTTTTATACCAACAAAGGCTCTTCACCTTTCTGGTAAATGTCTCACTGATAGCTGCAGTTGTTAAAGACTTCAAGGGCTAGACACTAGTGGCACTCTGGTAGGTAATGTATTTTAAAATTCATACAAAATTATAAAAGTGTAACCTCAAGAGTTTACGAATTAAATATAAAACACTTTTTGGCAGTGAAGTGTATATATATTTGCTGCCTGAAGACAGGAAGTTACTTTAAAGTACAACTGAGAGAGCTTAACAGTGACTCTAATTTATTACGAATGGACTGAAGTAATTAAAAATATACGTTAGAGTGCTAAGAAACTGATGATAAATGGGTCTTCAAGGGTCTGGTTCTTTGTGAAGTGATTTTTCTCGTGTACATGTTTCATCGATTTAGTCATCTAATTTAAGGCAGTCCAAAATACCAAGTAAGAGTAAGCACTCAGAAAATAATGCAGCAACTGTATGCATACTGGTCAAATATCTCCACTAATTGCCTGTGATTGATTTAGTTTTCATTAATTTCACAATACTAAGGCTGGTATGTTCTTTAAATAATTATCTGATGAGCAGGTGCAAGGAATAGTAACATTAAAAATTAATGCTTTAAAATTATCATGGTTTTACAACAAACATTTTAAACAAGATAACTGCACAATAACTGTAAGTGAAAGGGTGTGAGATTTAACCATAGTCTTGATGTACTCAGCAATATAAACAAACATCTCTAAGACGCTAAAACCTGCTGCAGTCAAAACAGTAACACTGTTCAAGCTCCATCCGAAGACTGACATTGCCGCTTTGAGTGAAGAGTGTTCGTTATCTACGTCCTAGAAACCCTGATTGTCTGTTTGCCACACGTGTACAGGATGCACAACAGGCTGTTTTGTAATAGGTGTAGACACAGAGCCTGGCCTGAACCACCACATTGCAATTGTAGTATTTATCTTTGCAGTTCTCATCTGTGGAGAAAAAGGAAGAGAGAAGAAACTGAAGAAAACAGTATTAGAGCAACAGATAACCAATCCCCTTTCTTTTTACCATGTAAAGTCTTTTGGACCTGTATTTAAATGTTCATTGTCAGGTTAAAATAGGCTACCTATGCAAATAAGTTAGATTATTCAAGATTTTCTACATTTAATATAAAGATACATAAAACAGTGGAAGAAATGTACTGTTGTGGGGATTTGTTGCTTTTTTTTTCTTTAACAAAATTTAGGAAAGTCTCCAGTATTCTTCACTTAGATACCTGTCCACTTCATTTTTAGATTCACCAGTACTAATCTCTTGTGGCAGTACACAGATAGCACCAGAAACTGCAAATGTTATTTTTCACGTACTGACAAATCTAAATACTGAAAACTAGTAAACCACCTCCCTCCTTACAAATACTAAAAATGGTTTAAAATAACTAGATTAAAAAAGACAGAAGTTGGTGTTCTTAACATTCCCCATTTTTCTAGGCTGTTAGGATACAGTCTGTTCACATTTTGAAGTGTTCCTTTACAACCAGCAGGGTTAGAAATACTTTTTAAGTAACAACGAAGATTTTCATATGATCATGTGTCTGATCACAGAAACTGAGGTGGTAAGAAAAAGATCAAATGATAAAACACTAATAGCAGATGTAAAAATGTGCAATTCTGTACAAACGTGTTTTTAGAAAAGAAATAACATAAATACAATAAATTTTTAAAAATAATATTGGTATACCATTTTTTTACATTTATCTTAAAATATGTTGAAGAATAATTCTCAACTGAAAACTGTTGTAGAACATAAGAGTTTCTAAATACTTGCATCTTCCTTTCTCTAGTCACTCCCTACTAGTAAAATAAAATTTGTATGAGATGAATGACTAATTCCAATGCCAAATTATGTGTATGTGTATATTTACTATATATAAAATTGCTTAATTGCCCTTAATGTCTTAGTTTAATATTATTGGTTCTTATAGAACCTGTTAGCAAATACAGTATGTCATACACGATCCTGTTTTTGTTTTAAAGACTGCCAAGAGAAACCTTTGAGAATGCAAGGAGGCTGCATAAAAACACCCTATATACACCATTTTCACAGAAGCAGATTTCTCACATTCTCAGCAACTCTAAAAGTAAGCCAGTTTCTTACATGTTACAAGGAAAACATTTTTAATCAGAAATTAAAACCTACATTTACACCATAGAAGAGATGTATTTTGTGTGAAAATAAAACCCTGAACTTGATAAAGAAAATATACTCTAAAAACTGCAAGATTATTTTTTCCTCCACTAGATGGAGTTCCATAGTTAAAACAGAAGCTTCTTTTTCCTTACCTATTTCAGGGGTACAATCTTGTGTGTTACATGGTTCTTTTTCTTCAGGTTTAAGCTGTGGATCACAATGAGTACTGGCTGTCATGTCATCCGATAGACATCGTACCTCTCGAACCCGAAATCCTCCTTCACAGGATTTGGAACACTGAAACACAGAAGCTGAAGTTCATGAAGACCATATGAGACGTGCAAATACACAAAGAAAAAAATGGGAACCTTGAAGCCAGACCCAGGCATTGCTGTAGCCTTTTATCAACTTCACTACTTCTGTTGGGTTTTGTTTTCTAATTATAAAGCCCTTAAAATACAGGTGCAATTTCATTAAAGGTTTAGAAAAATTTTTGACCACAGGGGCAACAACTGGACAAGTGAACATGGTAGACATTGCACAACTGAAAGCATGCTAGAATTATTTCCCTTTCTGAATTTATTAGTTAGCTTCTTGCTTCTCTAATTAGTCTTGTTCTTTGCTGCTTATTTATACATATTTCCCAAATCCACTCTT